GGGATATCAAGGGCCTGCTGAAAGTCTGCCTGTAACCTTAGCTGGAACATTCTCTACCCACATATGCTATCTATTTCATGAGAATGAATCAAAACTACCCATTTGCCACTGATATGTCTTGAAAGGTCTGTTGCTTCTCACTTTTCCTATGATTTTCACCATATCAAGCCCACTTCTGTCCTCCCCTAATTGATTGCTTTTGCAATGTTCCCTGCGTGCTGCTACTGTATTGTAGTTATTCATCAAACACTTCAGTGCTATGCTGTGAGTACTTCTTCACTAAGGCTAGGTCGCCCCCACTAGAAAAAGCAGTGTTTCTACTGCAGGATAATTAACAAGAATTAAGTAGCCTGCTGTAAAATTATAATGGAGACAAAGCACTGTAATTTAACTGCAAGCGCAGCCATGTGTGGAGATATAATGAAGTCCTTACCTAGTTATCTCATGGTTAAACAACGAGTGCCTCTACTGCATGTAGGCTTGTACAGCAAGATGAACGATCACTTTTATTGTGTCACTGTAATAGAGTCCATCTTTTTGTCAGTGAAGACAGAGCCTAAGAAAAAAGAGTGTTCTCACCTCAAGTTATACACAGTAACACAGTGTACGAGTTGAGTGAAAATACAGGAGTTTGTCATAGTCAGATATTAAGAAGTTGAGTTAAAGAATATGGTACAGCTTATAAAACTACAACTGCCTTGTCTCCACTAGGATTTTACCTTGTGCTAGTTGCCACATGTGACCTAACAGGAGGTAAGGACAAACCTTTTTTGTAATGATGACAAGGTTTAAGAGTTATACTGAGAAGTCATAAATCTAGAGCCTCTTAAATAAAGCAGTCCAACTCTAACTTTTGCACATTATTTTCAAAAGCTGGAGATTTATTTTCTAATGAAGATTTTCTACACACACAAAAGTAAAAAGGTATTTCACTCACTTCTTTTTGCTCTGATACATTTTTGTCATTGTTTTTGTCATCCTTATTTCTTTAAGAAACTCAGTTATTCAACAACATTTACATTGCACTGCCATACGCACACCCACCCACCAGCAGGACAGGTGGAATGTTGTTGTTTCAGGTATTATAATCCTTCAGGTTGCTGCAGAAAGTAGAGTTAATGGACTCCTTGTCTCTTTAATTTTCAGTTTCTTGTTCAAATGACAGGCTACATTCAAGGGTGAGAAGTGAGAAGTTTTGTAAACAATTTTTTGAAACATGGTTAATTAGGTTATCTCTTGTCAATAAACTGTACTTATAGAGGGTTAGGAAAAAGCTTTCATATTATGATTTAGACACTTTGATTTTTCCTTTCTAGTATCTGCATGCAAATGGGATTGTTCACCGTGATTTGAAGCCAGAGAATCTACTCTATGCAACACCAGCGCCAGATGCACCATTAAAAATAGGTGAGCAGTGCTAACTATACACTTTCCATCCTTCCTGTTGTATTGGTATTATTTTGTGTGATTCACATGTATTTCCTCTCTTTGCCCCATCATTTTATTCTATTTTAGCAATGATATCTGATGAATAGGCCCATTCTTTATACAACAGCACAGCTGTGCATTGTGCTTTAAAGATAAATAAAAGGACAGGTTCCTGTTCTTAGGAATTTACAGTCTAAATTAGGAAAATACCTCAAGAGATGATAAACACAGGAAGAATGGGATTTGGGAAGGGTGAAGTTCACAGCAAGCAAGATCATGAGGTCAGATTCTAGCTATATACGCTACTTAATTTTTTTATTAGACCATATATTAAAAATTTGGGTGAAATACAAATGAGAGGGCAAAAGTGGAAGTAAGTAATGAAAACAAGTCAAAAGGAGAGTGTTTTGAGGAGTTTGAAAGAGGAGAGGCAGGTTGTATGGCACAGATTAGAGAAAATATTCCACACATAAGAGGCAGCATGAAAAAAGTAGGAGGAGACCAGACAAGCTACAAGCTGACTTGATTTGACAGAGTTTATGTTACAAACTAGGGATGTTAAATATCAGTTAATTGAATAGTTAACATCATGACATTTTATCGGTTGACTATTCTATAGTCCCCGGGGACAGGACTGGCAGCCACTATATCAGAGACAGCAGCTCCGACATGAGCCAGAACTGAGCTGGGCTGCATGCCCACTCAGGCTCCTAATACACTTTAAATGCAGAGCCACAGAAGGGGTAGGGTCTGGACCCACCATGAACCAGGACTCAGCCAGGCTGCTTGCCAGCCTGCTAAAAAATTTACTGGGAGGAAGGGAAATACATGTAGTCTATAACATTAAACCTATAAGCTTTTGCTTATCGGTTAATTGACTACACTATTACATCCCTGGTACAAACCAGGGAGTAGAGGGCATTCACTGTTGCCCAGCCAGCAGCACTTAGTATTTGCAACTGTAGTAGGAGTCAGTAGAAGGTTTAGGTTCTCAGCACCTTTGAAAATCAGACTCTGACCCTCTGAGATACGAATATTCACCATTTCCATGTAGAAAAGCTACAGTTCGTAAGCCAGTTTCCATTCGATAGTATGATAAAGCAGAAAACAGCAGAGGGCTAATTGATGAGCTGTGTAGATTGTGACATTGCTGATGTGGTAACTGAAAGAGATCTGATTTGTACAGAGTGAAAAGAAAAAATCTCTGAGCCATAGGGTCTTTTTTTCATAAAGAAATTTTTCCTCCTGTGCTTTACATTACATCTCAGGGTGTTGAGACATTAAAATGTTTGTTTTGCTACAGACTATACATCCATTAATTTCTGGTTTACAGAATACTTTATTTAAAATAAGATTTGATTTATAACGAATAATGCTGCTGTTCAGCCAATTTTTGTTTATTAAAATAAAGAAAAGCATAACTGAAACTTATCCTCAAAGGTTCATTTGTTTAACTGTCTATGGTGCAGTTGCATGTAATTGTAGCTGGAGTAGGCATACAAATGCTAGCTTTAAACTAGCTAGCATAATTACAAATGGCAGTAAAAACACAGTGTGGCTTAGGCTTCCATCACACCAGCAACACAAATGTGTACTCAGAGTCCTAGGCAGGCTTGTACAGCTCATTATATCTACTAAAGCTGCATTTTCAAATGGTGTCTTCTTGTTTGAACAAGACCCTAAGATAATTCATTTAGCACTTGCTTAAATGCTTTTCTGGATTGTAGCTGGAAGACTCGGTTCCTTGTAGGATCAAACCCCATGTTAGTCCCCACTTAGTTGATAAGATCTGAAAAAGTCAAAAAGTCCAAAGTGGAAGCATATCAGCCCAGTGTAGCCAGTGTCAGTGCTAGAAAAAACACTGCCGTGGACAGTGTTTTTTGGAGTGACACCAGAAAAAAGTTATTGCCCTTCTGTTTTACAGGAAAATTAGATAATCAGAATTTCTGACCAGCCAGTAGTGGGTGATAAACTGAAAGACACACAGTTCTCTAACAATACAAAACCATCCATTTGGAAAATCATATATCTTCCAAAGCACACAATGGCCTGGCGGGCCTGTTTTCATGAAAATTCTCTATTAAACTGATAGTGTTCTGTTTTATAAAAATACACTTGCTCTAGTTTTTAAATGTCTTCTCTTTTGTATTTATTCTCCTCCCATTTCATGCTGTGTTCAGAAGTTGTAAATAAATCATTGATTCCGCATCTGATTCTTCCTTGCTGGCTGCTGTTTGTTCCATCATCTTTGGGGGCAGGTAGCACAAGTTGTAGATTAAAAATATTTTGATGATTTTAGAGCAAGAGGATTTAATCCATCGACACAAATTTCCTATCTGTATAATTTTGTTTCCATGCAATTGTCCTGGAGTATTTTTTTCTTTTAACCTTTTCCTTAATATAATAGCGATTTTCATTAAATGAAGCATTCTCAAAAAGTGAAGTACTTCCCCCTGCTGAGTATGTACTGTCTTTACACAGTTATAAGCAGACAATAAAACTTCTGTTTTATGTTTCTACAAATCTTGACAGCTGATTTTGGGCTTTCCAAGATTGTGGAAGATCAAGTGACCATGAAGACTGTTTGTGGAACTCCAGGATACTGTGGTATGTTCCTTTATTTCTTACAATATATTGGATTTAGACTTTGATTTGGAGACTATTTACATTTTCCTGTTTCTATGCTTGGCAAATGCAAGTTTCTTTAAGATTGACAAGGCCCCTGAACAGCTTAAATCAAAAACTATAATTCCAAGAGTGGCATCAGTGTTAACTTTTCAGAAACATAGGTACTCTATAGTTTCAAGCCAACATTCCAGTGCATTTTCTAATATAATTTCATAATTTACATGATAGTACTCTGATGTTGAATACAAATATCGTATACAATAATATTCCAATTATACAAATATAATAAAAATCCATGCCAAATTATTGAGATACTGGATTTATTGGAGTGTAAGTTATAATCACAACTTCATTAGTATAAGTTCATTGGGCCCTTCATAATTCCTATTATGGATAGTCCAAAATTAAGTGTAATAGAAACTAACTTAAGGTGACTTTTTTTTGTTTTAAAATAAAAACCAAATTATCTCTTAGGCCATGTCCAGACTCAGGGGTTTTTTCGGGAAAAGTAGCCTTTTCCCGAAAAAACTTCCCCTGCGTCCAGACTCAAGCCGCGTTCTTTCGAAATTATTTCGAAAGAACGCGGCTTTTCTTTTGATGGCGGTAAACCTCAATTTACGAGGAAGAACGCCTTCTTTCGAAAGTTCCTCTTTCGAAAGAAGGCGTTCTTCAATGTAAAGAGGCCGTCTTCGAAAGAGAGCATCCAGACTCGCTGGGTGCTCTCTTTCGAAAAAGCGGATTTCTCTTTCGAAAGATCCGCCTGCAGTCTAGACGCGATCTTTCGAAAGAGGCTCTTTCGAAAGATGCTTTCGAAAGAGCCTCTTTCGAAAGAAGCCTGCAGTCTAGACATAGCCTTAGTATTACCACTTGAGAAAGGGGGATAGCTTAAGTTCCCAAGAAAGCAAAGCATTTATGCACATGCATAACTTTATCACATGCTACAGTCTTGACCAGTAACTGAGTCCTAAAAATTAATAAGTGCCAGGACAAACTTCCAATACTGTAAATGATGATACCGAAAGTAGCAAAACACCAAAGAAAAATACCGGACTGGAGTCCCTGAGCATTCTGGCATGACTTGAGACTTGGTCCTGACTGAAAGAGGTGCTTATGTGTGGTGCAAAATTGAGACTCATATGATTGATAACTATGGGAGTGATAATAGGGAGCTTCCTATGGTGACTGTGAGATCACCAGCCTGGGAAAAATAAACAGCCACACCCAGTTCAATTCGTAGCCTTTTTCTCAGGACTCTTGTTTTATTCTTTAACACAACAAAGTGAAAATGGAGCAATTTAGAAACAACAACGCTTCTGTTTTCAACTGAGATCTGTGATTGTGGGGCCTTCTGACCTGGAACAGCTTAATAGACTGGACTTTCCCCAGCCTAGGCAAGGCTAACCAGCCCTCTCAGAATCTTCTACTACAGCCAGGGGAGAGTTCACCCCTGGTCATTCTCCTGGTCCCAGTATCCTCATGGAGCTCGGGCTCTTTTTTATACCCCCTGGCTGGGACTTCTCA